TTTTATGTTATTTATTAAAGCTTATCAGCATGACTCACCTTGCACACCAGTCAATTCTAAATCCACTACGAACTACTTCCTGCGGGCTTTTCACAATAGAACTACGTTAAGTCTCCATCAACATAACGTCTCCATATTAACTAACCGCGTTAAATCTAACTGTGCACATCACTGAAGAGGTGTTTACTACATTCAGCGATGGCGAAAACGGGATGTTTTTTTAAACGTCAGTCAATATAATTAGCGGAATCGCCACCTGCKGCTGCAACTAGCTGCTCCAAACATTAGCATGCTAACGCTCATAGCGGTCCAGCAGGGAAAAAGTCCCCCGGGAAACAACAGTTCACTGGCGACCGTGACGAAATGTTATGCTATTTAAACCGGAATGTCCGGTATTCAAAAAATTCATATCATAACAAAAATAAAAACTGGTATTCGGTACAAAACGGTATACCACCCAGCACTATTAGACATAGAGCTGTAACTAGAAGGTATCACCTTAGGAAGATACGCAGAGTTAGGGTGCAAAACCACTTTAGAGTCATTAGTAGAAAACTGGATACAGGAGGGGTTCACTGACAGAGCGTGGAGGTCCCCGACCCATTTAGCTGTAGCAAAAGCCAGAAGCAAAGCAACTTTATATGAAAGAAACTTCAACTCTACAGACTCTAGCGGCTCAAATGGAGGGTCGCAGAGAGCCTCAAGAGCCACAGTGAGGTCCCAAGAGGGAATATTGGGTTTAATAGCAGGCCGTAGCTTATGAACTCCTTTCAGAAAACGCACAGCTAAAGGATGATCACCAGGTGTGACTCCATCAAAACCTACATGTCAGGCAGAAATGGCTGCTAAGTAGACTTTAATTGTGGAGAAGGAGAGCCCTTTATCCAGTAGCTCCTGAAGAAATGTTAAAACATCTCCTATTGCGCACTGAAAAGGGTCCAGGTGCCTGTTCTTACACCATCGCTCAAAAGCTTGCCACTTATAGGAATATAATCCTCTAGTGGATGAAGCTCTTGCATTTTGGATAGTTGCTATTACTGCTGGAGAAAGGCCTTTGGCTAATAAGCTGGACCTTTCAGCAGGTAAGCATGCAGCTTCCATAGTTCTGGGTGTGGGTGAAAAATCTCCCCCTCTGCCTGAGAGAGGAGATCTCGTCGAACCGGAAGTTGCCAGGGTTGAGCTGCTAGCAAGCTGATTATCTCTGTGTACCAAGACTTCGCTGGCCAGCGGGGTGCCACTAGGATCAAAGACAGGCTCTGTCCGCGCACCCTCTCTAGTACAAGTGGTATCATTTCCACTGGGGGAAACGCATACAGAAGTACATCGGGCCAAGAATGAGCTAGGGTGTCCACTCCCAGAGGAGCGCTCTGCTCTATCATGGAAAAGAACAGAGGACAGTGTGTGTTTGCTCTGGAGGTAAACAGATCTACTGTCACTTTGCCAAACAAAACCCAAATCTGGGCCACCACAGTGGGATGCAGCTTCCACTCGTTTGCTAGAGGTCCGACCCTGGAGAGGAGGTCTGGACCTAGGTTCAGTCTCCCCGGAACATGAATGGCTCTGATAGACGTACCGGCCACGAAGGCGCGGACGGACAGCGGTTTGCTCCAGGAAGACACAAAGTCCGGAAACATAGGCAGACGGTGCTTCACATCAGCCGGTTCAGATGGGAGATAAAACCCTGTGAACCTCGACGGCTTTTGAGCAGGTGGGGGGTCGGGCCACTGTACCTCCAGTTTAGCAGCAGCTCGGCGGCACAGGGACAAGAAGGACGAATCCTGGTCCACCCTCTCAGCAGCGGGGGTGGAGTGAGCTGGGCACGGCTCCTCGTCATCTTCGGACAGACTGAGAACCTCCTGCTCCATCTGCAGAACATTGTCCTCCTCTTGGTTTAGATCCAGTAGAAACTGGGGGTGTATTCAGACCAGGAAAGTCCTTTGGTCCAATTGTTTGATCCGGACCAAAAATGGACTTTTTTTTTGCGTTTGGTGCGGTTTGCATTCACATTGTGCTTTTTTGCAAACGAACTATAACTTGTAAACAAAGCCATGAGGCTGACGATCATTGCTCCCATTGGACAAAAAAGGACGGGGGCGGGACTGAACCACAGATCCAGAAGAAAACAAGGAAGTCCTGCATGCTGTGGTTCTGATACGCACATTTTTACTGATAGTACAACTGCAATAGCTTTTAAAATGTCAGAAGCAGCTAATTTAATGGTGGTTCTGTGATGATATTCAAATTTTGGAGCGGCGTCAGTAAATGTGTCCCGCAACCCAAAGGAGACGAGGTGCTCTGCATGTTCTGACCCACTACATGCTGGCAGCAGAGCTGCTAACAGGAGATGACGAAACAGGTATGATTTCAGTTTATTTAGCTCAGCAACGGTGGCCTGTGAAGTCCAAAAAGGTGCATGTTTAATGCAGTTGGTTCGGTTAGAGTCTGGTCTGTATTCACACCAGAAGCAAACTGAAGCGAACCGCACCAGAGTTCGTTTGGAAGCGAACCGAGACCACCTCAAAAAGCAGGTCTCGGCCCGGTTGTTTGATCCGCACCAGAGTTCGCATGAGTGTATTCACACCTGCACAAAAGGTCCGGGCCAACGCTGGAAACGAACTCTGGTTCGTTTAAAGCGGAACAAATTATCAGGTCTGAAAATGACCTGGGTCTCGCCCCCCTCGATGTTGGGTGAGGCCGCCTCGTGCTCCATCTGGTCCGCCCAGCTAGCAGCGGGGGCTTTGACCGCAGAATCTTCGTCTTTGTTGGACTGAGCCATCTGGCTGGATTCGGAGAGCAGCGGGTCTTGTCGGAAAACAGCAGTTTCCCTCAGCATTTTCTACAGGAATTTCACTCTCCTCTCCAGTGTCTGATGCGAAAGTCCGGCACAGGCCTGGCAGGACTCGGGCTCCACAAGCGCCCGTCAAGCGTGAATGATTCCTAGGCAGGCTGGGCAGGCCTCATGCTGGTCCTTCTCATGAAGCTTAAAGCTGCACCCCTGAGGACAGGGGCAAACAGAAGACTTTGGCTTCTTCGAAGGTGGTTTTGTGCTCATCGTGAACCACAAAACAGATTTTCAGCAGAAAATAAAGGTCACTTAAGTAGCGTCGAGCGGCAGACACACGAACCATCAGGTAACGCGGTTAGCACCAGTAAGGCTAGCCTAAGAACCTTAGAAGCTGAGCTAACTAGCAGCAGCTATGTGAGCTCAGGTTTAGAGTTGACTATCGTGAGGTGAAGGGCAATAGAACTGAGTAATGACGCTGGTGACTACGAACTTATAGGGTGAAGGCGGAGCCTGTCACCTGATGTTCAATGCCACCATGTCACTGGTCTAAAGATGTGATTAGAGGTGGCTTCAGCCAGGCGTGTGAGGGCGCGCGTGTCCCATATACAACTGTGTGTTGTACTGAGTGAAATGACTGAAAAGGAACTAATGTTACAACTAATTGGGGATCCCTTTAACTAAGTAAATTACAAGCAGAGTGACACACCTTCTACTGAACAATGTGGCAGCCGATGTTGAATTGGTTTTGTTTTTATTAGCGGATATAAACAAGTTTTTTTTTCTGTGTCTGCAGATCATCGGCATTGGCCTGTGTGGGGTTTTCGAGCTGATTAAAGAAACCCGGTTCTCTCACCCCTTACTGTGTCTGCGCAGCCTGCAGGCTTTATTGGACATGCTGCAGGGACAACAACCAGAGGGGTTCCAGACTGAACCTCCTGATGTGCTAGGTAAATATGAAAGTGTCTCCCCTCCAGAGTAGTTTTCTAAACGTATTACCCCAGCAGCTAAATGCCGATTTAGATTTATTTTCTCATAAAGGTCTAACCATGTTTGCTTTGGTAGAATCTCTTTTCCAGCTGTTGTTGGAGACCACGGTCCGAAGCACAGGGCCTAATGACCCAACGGGACAGGAAATCACTGCTCTGTCCTGCGCCTGCCTCTTCAGTCTTGTTGTGGCCTGGGGAGACACGGGCAAAATCTTGCAAGCTGTCTCAGCCATTCTCACCAATAATGGCAGCCACGCTTGCCAGACGATACAGGTAATTTGTTGATTGCTTATTAAATTAGGCAACAAAAGGTTACATTCACAGAACAAAAAAAAAAAAACAATTACAACACTACAATACTTTCTTGCCATGTTTCCCTGATAGAGCTAACAGGTAATCAGGTGTTACAGGCCTGGTTTAAATGTCTGTTTACATTTCTGCTTAATGGCCAACAAATGTTTTTAGACTTGAACTTTCCTGATGCTTGTTTTCAGGAACGCACCGACTGCAATGATTTTGTTCTCACATCTGTTAAGAAATTTGAACCCACATTCTTACCCATTCAGGTTTCAACTCCAGATTAGAGAGAATGCGTATGAGCATTAAAGTGCATTTTTTGGGGTTGGACAAAGTAACCTTAGCCATTTTTCAGGATTTTCTCTGCAGAGAGGCTCTGGGCAGTTTCTGGGCAGCTTAAATTGAGTTTTGTAAATGTCAAGCCTCTCTGATCTTCCCATTTGATTCTGTTACGCCGACTGAATTCCTTCGTCAATTAGCTGAACTTTTGTTTACTCCCTGTCTCTGTCTTGTCTCTTCTTTTCCACTGACTTGTATTCACCCTTAAATCTAAATAGTTTCTCCTAAAACATTTGATTTCTTAAGAATTAGACACCAATTAGCTGAAGGTTGATCACCTTCAGCAGAACAGCTTAAAAGGTTCAGATGTCATTTCGTCACAAAGATCCATTTTTGCTCCTGTTTTCTTTAATTTTTTTAGTTATTAACTGGTTGTGAATCATCACGCTGGCAGGCGGGTTGTTGAGAAGTGTGGGCTTTCATGCTTTTATGTGTATGAATAAATTGTAGCGAGATCAATGGTATGTATAATTGCTGTCACAGAATTGATGCCAGCGTTGTGAAAGCACATTTAGACAGAATTAAAAATGTACAGCGCACTCTTGTTAATTGCTGTGAAAATTTGAGTCAAATCCGCAACAAAGGAGCTCAGCAGGAAGGTATTTTGTATAAATGTAGCTTAACAAATATACCCTTTATGTCTCATCAGAGGTCTCCCTCTTCCTCCTGTTTGATCAAACCAGGTCCCCACTATACTGAATGCACTACAGAGGAGTGTACAGGCTGTCCTAGTGGGCAAGATTCAAATCCAGGATTGGTTTGGAAATGGCATCAAACGTGCTGCTTTGATGAACAAATGGGTCCTGAAAGAAGTGACCATTGATGAAGATGAGCGCTGTCTTCTTCAGACCGACGGCTCCTTTCTGTATTTGCTCTGCAAGGATGGGCTCTACAAGGTTGGATCTGGATATAGTGGCACTGTCAGGGTATGTGACCTTCATGCTGCTTGTAGGTTTTGTTGTGGACATTGATGATTGTTGTTGTTTGCTCACATGTTGTCAATTCCTCAAAGGGACACGTGTACAACTCAACATCTCGAATCAGGAATCGAAAGGAGAAAAGGTCATGGCTCGGGTTTGCTCAGGTAACAAGTGCAGTTAATGTTTGTGTCACATGTTGAAAGTTTCAAACTGTAGTATGATAAAAAAAATGTAAATGTATGGTCTCTAGTTTTTATTGTTGTGCTAGTAAGAGTCAGCTACTATTATCAGTCAACAGATGTGTTTGTGTTGTGTCCTCAGGGGTACTTGTTGTATCGGGACACGAGCAACCATAGCATGTCAGCCATCAAGATCAACCCTGAGACTCTGGAACATGAGGGCGGGGTCACCATGCCTGGTACTGAGAGCCCCTTCATCAGTAAAAATCGAATGTAGGCCGAGTAAAGCAACATGACCCAGTATTCACTCTCTCTTTCTCTGTAGGTCAACATTCAGATGGACAGAACATAATCTTTACAGATGGAGATTACATCAATCAGATCGCAGCCTGCAAAGATGTAAGTTTTTATTGTTCTTGCTAAAGACACATCATTAAAATTTTAGCATTTCAGTTCTTTTTAGGCTCTTAGTAAAAAGAAATGTTGAAGCAGTTTCTGTGGTGAATGCTTCTTGCTGTAAACCCAGTTAACAAAGCTGGTTTTAATGTGCTTTTCTGGTTTTAGAAAATTCAGTTGCTTTTGAATTTTTTAGCATCTAAGTCTTGGGTTTAAAGGTCCTGTATAGTTTTGGACTGAGCCTCCCTGAGCTATATCATAGCTGTTGATCTTACACTGAATACAAACATTTTCAAACTGTTGGGATAGTCTTTATTCAGTGAGCTCACTGTACAAATCACTTTTTCAATAAGCAAACCGTCCACATGTAACCTCCGTTTTACTTGAGTTAAGGTTAGTTGTTGTTCTCAACTTGTTTTCTGAAGCACAATACACCTCAACCTGAGATGCCTTCTAGCCGCCTCGATGCGCCTTTGTGCTGGAAAGTGAGGTAGAAACAGAGGTGAATCGGTTGGCATGAGAAGTTGTTAGCCAACTTCGCAGGCCATTAATATGATGAACTGATTTATGGTCCGTGTGACCATTAAACAACAACAAACATGTTTATTATAGAGGAAATATCAATGATGACAGACAGCAACCTTTTATTTACTTAAAGTGAATAGTTAAACTGAATTAATTTGCATGTTTTTAAAATAATACCAGGGAGACAACCATCACACATTTAATGCATGTCCACTCCTCTTTTGGTTCTCCTATGCTCTCTTCATTTCTAAAAGTCTGTGTCTGTGGGGCGTGTATCTTTGATTTTTGTTTTAAAAGGTTGGAGGCAGCAGAAAGCTAGAATAGTCTTTGTGGCCATTTTGCAGAACTGTTTTATGAAAAAGCCAAGAAACTGAAATCACGCACCTCCCTCTCATCACCAGCGACAGCACAGAGAGGGAGTTGTAGCCATGTCTGTCTGTACATGTGTGTTGTGTATAGATGTGGGGCTTGGCAGTGAGGGCAGTGACTCCACATGTGGGTATTCGCCAGAGACCTTAATCTCAAAAGCAGTTGTGCGCATAAACACTGTAATGTGAGTGGGGGAGGGGAAAATGTGAAATCTATAAAATCTGCCGTTGCAGTCTGTTGTTGCATGTATCCACATCTCTTGCACACTGACCAACTTGCATTTCTATTACTAGTATAATTTTTATGTGTTGAACAGACATAGATTTACCTTGTTCTGTAATGTGGATGAAAATACTGTTGACACACAAAATATCCAATCTGTATGTATGTTTGTTTGGATACTAAGGCAGGACTTCAATGGGTTGCCCCGGATCTGCTGCATTGATCGACTTATTGCCTCCTGCCATTCAAGGCGCACAGTCATGAAATTGCATTTATGTGTACATGCTTCTCTGTCTGTTAGAAAAAACAATATCTCATGAACCCCTGCTGAGGTTAAAAAAAAACTGAAAGTCCTTCCTGGATGTATCTTGTGGATTCATCTCCATTCAGCTTAGCTGCTCAGTCACCCTCAGCAAATGCAAGAAATGTCTTCAACTGGGCCAACTTAAAACTACTTAGCTAAAATTCTATATGTTAGTAGTGCATGGGCATTCCAACACATACTCCACACACGGATCAAGTAATCGCTTTGTTTAAAACATTAGTGCGGAAAGCGATGGGTAATGCTTTTTTTAATTGTGCATGTTTTGTGAAACTCCAAAACAAATGATCTCAAAGGGTCAAAATAATACAACATATTGTATCATTATTGCAGCTTGATTGATGTTTTTATTAAAATTAGTGTGTTAGGACTTATTCTAATATACAGTATAAAGTAGGGATATAATTTTTTTTAAACAGATTTCATCTAAATGTCACACTAATGTTGTCTTCCTGTGCGTCCACCCTCCTGCAGGATGGTTTTGTCGTTCGCATCTACACTATGAGTTCAGACCCGGCCCTGCAGCAGGAACTACAGTTGAAGCTGGCAAGGAAATGTCTGCATGCCTGTGGCATTTCTCTCTTTGACCTTGAAAAGGATCTGCACATTATCAGTAAGCGATGCAAAATGTATAAATATCAGTGAAACTGTGGTTGGTGACTGGTGCTGTGCATCTGCAACAAGTTCTTTGTATTGTATGTGTGTAAAAGGCTGAACATTTGTTAGATATGATTAAAAGCACTGAGCTCACTAACCTCATAAATGGTGCATTGTTTTTTCCAGGCACAGGCTTTGATGAAGAGGCAGCATTGATTGGAGCAGGCAGGGAGTTTGCTCTGATGAAAACTGCCTCAGGAAAGGTAAGTGCTTGGTTTTCTAAAATAGTTACCAGTAATGAAAGTTAGTGCATTTGAAATGGTTAAACTAAACTGCGAGGTGTAGGGCTTTGATTTGGTAATGATTAACAAGGCACAGCAGAGAGTAAATGGGTCAGGGTGCAAAAGGCTGAATATAGATTGTGTTTTTGCATCTTTTTATCCATTTCCAGTGAGCATTTTAAGCCATTATTATCCATTATCTTCCTCTTATTCCGAGTTGGGTCGCGGGGGCAGCAGCTTGAGCAGAGAGGCCCAGACATCTTGTTCCCCAGCCACTGCTTTCAGCTCTACTGGGAGGATTCCGAGGCGGTCCCAGGCCAGACGAGAGCCATAGTCTCTCCAGCATGCCCTGGGTCTCCTCTCAGTCGGACATGCCTGAAGCTCCTCCCTAGGCAGGTGTCCAGGAGGCATCCTTACCAGATGTCCAAACCACCTCAACTGGCTCCTCTCGATGTGGAGGAGCAGCGGCTCTACTCAGAGTCTCTGATAACTGAACTTCTTACCCTGTCTATAAGGGAGAGTCCAGATATCCTGCGAGAAATCTCATTTTGATCACCTGTATCTGCATTCTTGTTCTTTCGATCACYGCCCAAAGTTTGTGACAACAGGTGAGGGTAGGAACGTAGACAGACAGCTAAACAGAGATCTTTGCCTTWCAGCTCAGCTCCATCTTCACCACAACAGACCAGTACAGAGTCTGCAGTGCTGCAGAAGCTGCACCGATCCATCTATCAATCTCTTGCTCCATTCTTCCCTCACTCATGAACAAAACCTCAAGATATTTAAACTCCTTTACTTAAAGCAGAACTTCACACCCAACCTGGAGAGAGCAATCCACCCTTTTCTGACTGAGGACCATGGAATCTCAGATTTGGAGGTGCTGATTCTCATCCCAGCCACTTCGCATGCTCCAAACCACTCCAGTGAGAGCTGAAGATGACAGCACAATGATTCTAACAGGACCACATCATGGAATCCTGAGGCCACAGAAGCAGACTCCCTTCGCMCTCTGGCTGCACCGAGAAATTCTGTCCATAAAAGTTATGAACAGAATCGGTGACAATGGGCAGCCCTGGTGGAGTCCAACTCCCACAATATGAACCGAACTCTCACACTCCTTGAATAGGGACTGAATGGTTTATACCACAGACCCATAATCCTATACTTGTTGAGTACCTTCCAGTGTGTACCTCAAGGAACATAGTCKAACACCTTCTCCAAGTCTTAATATCAGTCAGGTTTTAATATTAGTAAACACTAAACCAGAATCAAAACTCTAGATTGTTTTTAGGGTTTTCACATATCTAAAGTTCTTAGTTGAAGTTAATATCTCTAAATAAAACAGGATTAGGTAACTGATGTCTTCATGTCTCTTAATGTGTGTGTGTGTGTGTGTGTGTGTGTGTGTGTGTGTGTGT